ATATAATTAATAAAATAATATGAATAATTATCTAGTATTTGTACAGCAGTGAATTACACACAGAATTAAAAAAAGAACAAGTTCGTTAATATTTATATTGCATAGGTACATTAAATTTGTAGAAAATACCTATTTTTGTTTCTACAAATTTTATAGCATCGAATTTCCAAGTGAATTTCAAAAGAATAACGTGTTAATTAATATTTATATTGGCTATTTTTTGTACTTTTATTGTCGCAAATGGAATATATAACACCCTGTATAATGCATGCGACATTCTTTACCTATAAATGTATATAAATAAATTTAGCCTTCGTTTTTTATGTTTAAAAATATAACCAAGAGTCAATGAAATACTGAAAATGTTTGTGAAATGCTGCAAACTGGCCAAAACTGAATACAATTAACAACAAAAATGTAAAAGCGCGTCTCTTTCACACCAGTTTACGAATGCGATAAGAACGAATGTTTGCTTAAAATAATTTTCTGTATTTCCTCTGATTATTGATATATAAAACAGTCGCGATAGGAAGTAGATCGACCAGTCTTTTTTAAAAATTGTAATACAATGAAGACTTGTACAGTATTTTTTGCGTTTATGGTAATTGCTCTAAATACATTTTCCGGTAAGTACCTACCTGCTACATACATATGATGTACATTCACTCATAATATAATAAATTATTTAAGTGGATTGTGTTCTAAATTCTCACTTGTTTGTCGTGCTGCAATTTTAAAATGCTGTTGCTGATGTTTTGAAAAATTAAATTTAGTAAAATTAGATATTATAGTCAATACATTAACAATAAATAAAATTTTCAAATGCTTACTTGCGAAGATATAAGAAAACTCGGTGCTACAGTGAAATTAATTTTATGAAGGAATCTATTAATGGGATTTAAATAGAATTGATACATTTATATATCATTTAAACTGCAGATAGAATGTATTAACTTTCGTTGTAATCAAATACGTATTTTAATAAACTACAAAAAAAGAGTCGCCCCAGTTACTATTAAACCTTTCGTTTTTGCTCATCAACAGAAGATGCCCGAGTCTCTTTTTTAGTTTAGATATACATATGTATATACATATATAAACTACACTTGTGCAAATTTAAATAAGACATTTGTTTTTCTTTTTAATGAAGAAGTTAAAATTTTATTAGAAAAGTGGCTTCAAATTGACGAAATTTTAATTTTGCAATGTTTTACGATTCCACTACTAAAAAAAAATGCGATAACAAAGAAAAAAGTTTTATTTCTTGGTGTCTATGATATTAAGCGATGTAATTCTAATTCACTTACAATTGGCAACAGGTAATACTGAAGATAACATTTGTTTTATTTAAATAGTTTTGCTCTAGTTACTAATATTATTAACTGGTCTATTTCTATAAGTTTTTGTTTTTAATACTTGACGTTCCAACATTTTGCGTTGTAGTGTAATATTTGTTATTGTTTATTTGTTACCATTTCACGCCTTAACTACTCAACCAATTATCATGAAATTTTGTACACACATTGTTAGGGGTACACAAAAGGATATAGGGTACCTTTTATCCAGAAAAAAAATACTGTTTCCGAGGGACACGTATTTAGGACAACAACGCAAGCGAAGTTGCAGGAAAACCTAGTATTATTAAAAAAGGTGTTGTCGAATTGTTTTTTACTTTACGAATAATTAGATGAATAATAAGAGAAAGAATACAATTCTAATATACATAATTGTTTTTTTTTCATATTTTTTTGCGTTTACATAAACCTTCTCAATTTTAATAAAAATTTGCTGTGGTTGTAATAAATCGACGTAAAAATTATGTATTTTTTTGACGATTAACATGGACGTAAACAGCATTTTTCGGATGGGTGACACTGTTGTAGACTTTAATTTCTGTACATCACACAAGACACCTGGATTCCGAAAAAAAAAACAGGCATAACTTAACATGCCTTTTGAGTTTCGTAATAAATATTATTATATTATTCACCTACGACTTGGACATAATAGATTTTTTTACACCAATAATTAAAAACGCCACATATAAATTTGCATTAAGCAAAACGCTAACCCATCCGGTTTCACTTGTATCTACGTCCCTGATGATGATTAAAAAAATCAACAAACGTTATTTTTAATATTCAACTCTTTTTAATAAAAGCAACACTTGGGGTTAAAATGATTTTATTTAAAAAACCAGAGCCAACGTTTCGCCCAGGTTATTGGGCTTTTTTAAGGCTAGTTTTATTTAGTTAAAATAGTAATACTGATGGAATTTGGTTAAGCTACGATCGTTCGTGTGTAGTAACATGTTTAAAATAATAAAAATAGTTATAAGTAGGAGTTACGTAGGTATCTATTTAGTTTTGTATTTCGCAGACTGGTAGGTAGGGGTTGAACGCAAGAACGCAAGAACACTAACACATCAAGAAATGTGCAATTTGAAAATAAGCAAGCCCTTGGTGCCCCTGATCAGGGGGATCTCTTATGTTTTCCTTTTTAATTATTGTAAATAAATTTCAAGGGCAGGAAATTGATAAAAATGACTTACCTATATGATGGTTGGCAGCTTCGATTACCATTTTAAGGGAAATTCCAAAATTGCAGATAATCTACCTATTCCAAGAGCGATAATATGTCCATCTGGTGGTAAACTGTAAAAAATAATTCTCATGTAAACAAAATTAAAAAAAATAACATTCAGATAATTATAAGTAGGAGTATTATGGTTAACAAGGGGGTAATTCACAATTGTATTAACACCATTTTAATAAAAGAAACAGATATATGTACCTACACTTAATAAAATTAAAAATGTTATCCTTCAACAAAAGATCTATATAATATAATTAATAANATCAACCAAATTCCATCAGTATTACAGTTTTAACTAAATAAAATTAGCCTTAAAAAAAGAGCCAACAACCTGGGCGAAACGTTGGTTGTATTTTTTTGCTTTGATTAAAAAGAACTGAATACAAAATAGGGAAGAAGGTTAGTTAAATAGTTATTTTTGATATTTCAGATGCTACTATGTGTAAACCCAATTCACAATTCCGAATAGATTGTGATATTTGTCAATGCAGTTCAGACGGAACCGAATACAGTTGTTCAAATAGAAATTGTGTATGTATTTCGTGGTTTGTCTTCTTATTTTTATTGAAAATATAACATTTTTAAGTAGAACATCAGCTTTTAGGTCTTTAGGAGGAAGGAGTAGATTATGTAAATGTAAAATATTATAAAAATATGAAATGAGCTAGATACTAATTAGGTATTAGATATTAGGTACGCGACAAAAATTCAAGTGATGATTCCTGAGGTATTTATATGAAAAAAAGGCTGTAAGAGGTTTGTTTAAATAGTTTCGATATTTTTGATATTGTTCAGCTCCTCCTTCGATGCCGTCTTTATCTCCACAATCGTAGCGTAGCGTGGTCCTATCATGGGCCTCTTTAGTTTGCGGAACAAGAAAAAGTCACAGGAGTTAAATCAGGGAAATACGGTGGCTGCTGCGGCATCATTAGCGTGTTGCTTTTGGCCAAAAATTCACGCACAAGCAACGATGTGTGAGCAGGGGCGTTATCATAGTGCAAAAATAGGTTTCGTTCTTCCACAAATACGGGCGTTTGTGGCGAATTGCTTCGCGCAAATTGCGCATAACTTGCAGGCAATATTCCTTATTGACCTTTCTACCGCGTGGCAAGAACTCATGATGCACCACGCCCCTGCAATCGAAGAAAACTGTAAACAAAGTTACACCACTTTTCCCGTATGATTGTGAGCTAGGGGATCGATGCGTCAGTTTCTAAATCAGTTTTACAACCTTACACGATTGTTAAGTTTGGACAAGAAACAGTTTTTTGGGTATTATCCTTCTGATCTATACAAATTGTAGAAAAAATCTTACGTACAAGTACAAGTGTAAGTAGTGAAATATTTCACATGTTGAATTGTTTGTGTAGATCTAATAATACTTATCTATAGTTATAAATATGAATCTTTTTAATTTCTATAAGACATAAAAACAATTTTGGCTCCAAATTTGCCGCTCCTAAAATCTGCCGCCCTGGGCTTCAGCCTGTTGGGCTTGCTGGCAAATCCGCCACTGTTGAAGGATTTTAACGTAAAAAAAATATTCTCTTACACTAATTCTTTTCAAGAAATTTACAAATTTTTGCATCGAATCAGGCTAGTGTACTCTTAGAACGCTAGAAGTGTAATAGTTAAGAAATTTACAAAAACTCAAACATGTAATGGATCTTGGATACCTCAAAAATCATCCCTTGAATTTTTGCCATATATTATTTAGTAAAAGAAAACTTTATGGAAAAAGGAAAACATACGGAAATGTCACATAAAATTATTGGTCAAGTAGAATAAATGTTTTCCATTTGCTTGTTCATAGGACGATGATGACACTTCGGACGTTGATGTTTTCAATTTTAAAGGTCGTTTGAGAAATCCTAGGATACCGATACCGTACTTCAGAGAAAATGACATTCGCAATTCTGCAGAATCAGTTGACGATATTGATCTTAGATACGACGACGATGATGATCATAGTTTAAATATTAATGACGACGTACCACCTAAAGATGACGATTTTCTAATAAACGACGAAGAAATACGATGAATACGATCACCATTTCACAGTAAATCTGCTGTTGAAGGAAGCAGTTTTCTTAAAAATGTTTTGCAGGAATGTTTATCAGTCTTTTGTTTTATGATTAGTTTTCTGAAAATAACATACCTAACGATGGATAAACTATTTTATATTTTTCTACTAGTATCAACAATCGTGCGTATATGAACAAATATTTTAGCTATTAATACAAAATAATATAAAAGAAACACAATATTACAGTTTATTATTGTATGTTTGTTGAATAAAATGTTTTAAACCAAGACCAATATTGTTTTTATACTAACAAGACCAAGCCCAAGACAGAATTAACGAGACCAACATTAAAACTAAGACCGAATATGCAAGACCAAAATCAAACACGTAAGACTAAATGAAAAATGATTACTTCCGGTGGATTTATGAAGTAAACTATATGGAGCAAGTTTAATATACATATTCTTTTCTTGGAATAAAACAATTTTTGTATTTGAAATTTACAGTTTACTTTACTAAATTTTAACACTAAATATATAAAAAATAAACTTTAACACTGTTTAAAAATAGGGATCTACAAGAACATCCTCGGAGTAAGTGTTCTTTGTTCCCGTGTCTGGATAGCGTAAGGTATTTTCGCTAAAAAGGTCAATTTATTCGTTGGAGGAAGAGTATGTTATTGGGTTTTCATAACTTTTACACCTATTGATATATAATATATATTGATAAATTAAAGTGCACCATAATTTTTAATAATTAAGGAGGGGTCCGAAAAGATGAAATTCTGAGCCACGTATTTTATGGTATTAGTATCTAACAAGGAGGACCTAGAGATAGTTTTAAATAAAATGGAACTGACAGATTAGTACTGTATGAAAATAAATAAAAGTAAAACTAAAATACTGGTATGAAAGGGAAGAAAAGGTAGGGAAGAAGCGAATATAAGGGTAAGGGACGAAAAATTAGAAGGAATGATCGATTTTAGGTATCTAGGAAGTCAGATAAGTCAGGACGGAAGGAGTAATACGGATATAAAGCAGAGGATAGCGCAGGGTCGTGTCGCCTTTAATAAAAAGAAGTCACTTCTATGCTCGCGAACGGTTAATATAGAATTCGAAAAAGGTTGTTAAAGGTGTATGTTAGAATCGTTGGAAATGTGGTGTTACAGGCGAATGATGAGGATACCGTGGTTAGAGAAGATTAGAAATGAAGATGTATTAGAAAGAATAGGAGAACCGAGGACTCTATGGAAGTCAATAAAAAAATAGGCGAAATAGGTTAGCAGTAAACCTTTTCAGGCATGAGGGTCCAGTCAGAGACATATTAGAGGCAGAAATGGGAGTTAGAAGGGGTAGAGGTAGACCTAGATAGATTACTGTTTGCAAATAGTTAATGATGGGGATTGTTCTAGTTTTAGGGATATGCGAAGATTAGCTCAGAATAGGAAAGAGTGGAGGTACGTGTCCAACCAGTCTTAGGACTGACGACCTTATGATGATGATGATTCTCATCTAGTATCTAGGTCCATTTCTTTCACAAAAATAGTGGTCCTCATCGCTATAATAAAAAAAACTATTACGGTTTGACCATGAAAAATATAACGATTTTTTTTCCAATAATTTTTATAAAGACAAGAAATGCCGTATCTTGCGGAACTACGGTCTCTTCCACAGAACATCAGCGTTCTGTGGAAGACCATTTGGTAATCGCTAAAGTAGACTGCCCGCTGCTACTCCTTGGGTTCAGATTGACGAGTCAATATCCTTAATCGTACAAGGACCTTGTCAAACATTTCAATTCACAACAGCTATAGATGGTGTTAATCAGACTCTTAGCTTCCTCCCACATTCATTGAGTGAGCCAATCCGCACTACATACTTGATCGGTAGGTACAAACAAACAAATTAAGATTGCAGAAATGACCTTAATGCATTCTCACTTATCACTCATACCCCAATTACCTTTTTGTAAATATTTCCAATGTACAGACACGCACAGTTTACAGTTTTATTACATGGAAGTACAGATTCTCGGACGAAAAAGTGGGCCATCACTCGTCCGAGTTCACAATAAGATGTAGTGCCGTTATGTTCAACTTTGCAACCTCTCTCTTACCACATCTTCCTTACCCCAATTTAAACTGAACGAAAAGAACTGACGATGAGCGATGCCACGGATGTTGCACTAGCTGTATCGCTGAATGTCACGCCTCGGAAAATCCAAGTTTCATTGTTCCTTCTGCTGTAATTATTTTTAAGATGTAGTGGCATAATTACTTGGACGTGTTTTTGGTGAGTGGAGCGTGTAATGGAGAAAAAGTGGTGATCACCTACTCCACTTTTCGTCTTTTAGTTAATATTTTTGTATTTTTAAGTGTATTTTTACTTAAAGCCGGGCTGTTTTTGCAAGTTTTTAAATATGAAAATTGTGACATGTACTTTTGTAAAGTGTGCTTTCTGCTCTTCTATTTTATAAAGTTTGCAAAGTGTATTTGGGCAAATGATTTGTTTCAAAATGACGATGATGTTTTAATAATATCTCAAACTAAGGAAGATGAGGAAGATTCAGATACAGGTAGGTACTTGAATGATAAATTATTTTCGGTGAATTATATTAGGCACTTGATTTAGAAGATAATTTATGACAAAGTTTCTGATGGTGAAGGCAGTATGTTTTGTGTTAATTAATCTACTAAATACAGTTTCTCAATCTTTTAGTATTTGCGACCCAATTTTCAATCAAAATTATAATCACCCCCTCGCTCTTAGAATAATTTTCTGTGATCGTGTTATAATTGTAATAGATATTTGCTTTTTTTATTTTAACGCTAAATCTGCACCTTAACTTTGAAAACAAACCTTAAAAATGACCACAAATACGTAAATTTATTGATATCTTATTTCAATAAACCAAGCCCAAGACAGAATTAACGAGACCAACATTAAAACTAAGACCGAATATGCAAGACCAAAATCAAACACGTAAGACTAAATGAAAAATGATTACTTCCGGTGGATTTATGAAGTAAACTATATGGAGCAAGTTTAATATACATATTCTTTTCTTGGAATAAAACAATTTTTGTATTTGAAATTTACAGTTTACTTTACTAAATTTTAACACTAAATATATAAAAAATAAACTTTAANATTTACCAACAGTACATTATCATTCTTCTTATTAGCAGGGCTTCGATTCGAATAAGTATTCTTCTTTTAAATAAATCGTTTTTTATCCTTTTTTTATCATATGCAGTACCTATATAATAATTAAAAATTACTGAAAAATCGACCAATTTACTTATCAATAATAAATCAATTAAGAAGCATAACATAGGTACGGTATTAAAAATGAAGGAAATTCGAGAAGAAATGTGATTTCAAAAAAAGTATCACAATTTTTAACTTGTTTGTTCTCATTAGCACGCCATAGGCAAACTCAATTTTATTAATTTGGTTTACTAACGTTTTGTCAGTTTGTCACTAGATAGTTTTGCAAGGCCTTGTCTTCATATCTAGATACTGGTAGCAGAAAATTTCACTAGATGGCGACATATTGTCTGTAGCTTCTTAAAAAACGAATAATTCGACTTTGTATTAAAAAAAACGAATAGGTATTTGATTCGAAATTGGAATCGAATTGTAACAGTCGTTTGATTTGATTACCTGCACGCCCATCTAAATAGCTTCAGTTAATTAATAATTGTTACAAAAAATATTGCCTCCCAAATAAATTCTTCAATTACTTACAAAATTAACAAAAACCAATTTTCATTTTTCTCTACAAGAACCCAAACATATATTTTTTCCTTTTTTTGTTGGATTAAATTTATAACAACACATAGGAAAGATAGTCCCGTTGTTTGAACGAGCATTTTTCCGCATTTGTAAACATTTATTTTATCTTTATTTGTCCTGGAGTTCTTTTTTTTTTGTGTAGCTACAGGAAGAGTTTTCGTTACAATATTTGGATTTCCATCGAAATGTGAAATTGAGGGAACATTTTATCCCTGCACTTTATCGTTAGCTTGCTGGTGGGTGGGAGGAATCAACACAGGCGGATGTGGAGGAAATTCTTGGATAGTATCGTGTTGCGTTAAGAGAGTGAGGAAAAACATCAAACAGGATCAAAGCCTTTTATATAGAGGCGACAAGGACGTTAAGAAATATCAGTAAGGCTTTCTATTTCCTTGAAATAACACGTTATGTTTTTGTGAAAAGAATTCAATTTTCACGACATTATGTGGTCTATTTGAAATTAAAATTTCGCAAAAAGTGGGTAGAGGATGGCGAGTTGTTACTTACTGCTTATTAGTAATTATTTATACGACACTTTTAGTAACAGAGATGGTATTTCGAGACTCATATTTTGTGCAGAATTGAAATAATACACATTACTATCCTATTATTAATATTATAAATGCGAATGTGAGTTTGTTTGTTTATTTGTTTGCTATCTTTTCACGCTTTAAATACTCAACCGATCATCATGATATTTTGTACACATATTATCAAGGATACAGAATAGGACATAGAGTACCTTTAACCGGAAAAAATACTGTTCTAGAGTAACAGAAAAATTAGTTTTATGTGGTTGTCCATGATCTTTGACGCGCATTTAGGATTACAACGCAAGCGAAGCCGCGGGTTTTAATCTACCATGAAATTTTCTACACACATCGTCAGGAGTAGGACATAGGGTACTTTTTATGAGGAAAAATATTGTTCTAGAGTGATAGCAAAATTAGTTTTATGTGGTCGTCGATAATCTTTGACGCGCATTTAGGACATTAACACCAGCGTAGTCGTAGGTAAAATCTATCAAAATATTTTGTACACAAATTGTCAACGGTACAGAAAAGGACCAAGAGTACCTTTTATCCAGAAAAAAAATACCGTTCCCGAGGGATTGAAAAATTATTTTTATGAGGTCGATCATGTTTGACGCATATCTAGGACATCAACGTGAGCGAAGCCACGGGTACAGCCTAGTTATTTTATAAATGAAGGCACATTAATTTTAATTAACAGGCACGTGTTTTTCGAATATAATACTGGAGAGCACGTATCGAGCTGAATGTTAACCTCAGACGAATGCTAGCTATTTGCTATTTAAAATAAATATACCGGGTGTCTAACATTAATCTATAACAGGAAATATTTCGCCAGAGAAGTTTCAAATCAAATAATGACCTTTAGACAGGTTGTTGGTATTTAAAGGTGGGGTCCATCTAATTCTGTGGTCCAGCACCGGGTCCAGGACTATGATGAAAGGCCCTGTGATACCGAACTTTGGTTTTTCAAATGAAAACCTCTAATTTGATTCTACGGAAGAAAACTCATCCAAATGTGGTTTAAGATTTTCTTTTTGATATTTGGGTTCTACAGAAATTCTTTTTTTGTTTTGATTGTAACATTCTAAAATATTTTGGATTCATCATGTAGAAGGACAATTGAAAAACACCAAACATGTTTGTTTATTAACTGCTAATTTTGGAATTACGCACCCCCTATGTCCCTATGTGAACCACCCGAAGCCGCCAATGTTCAAAGCTAACAGAAACAAAAGGCCCACGCAGCCTCATTAGATTTTCAGATGAACGAACCACCGCTGAACTGAGGCGAGACGTGACCTTTAGAAGCGCGTAGATACCTAGTCCCGTTGTTTTTTTAGGTATATGTATGTATTAGCAAAAAGTGGTAACATTTCCCAAACAAATAAAAAAAGTCCTTTGAAATGTTTAATCAGGACAGTGATGTAGGATCTTGTGTCTAAATCTGCGATTTATTCTATCGTTTTTACATTTAGCCTATCTGTTGCTACCATATAAATATAGATGTATCAAAATTGTTTGTAGCAATAAAAGGTAAAATAATGATAAAAGTGATATTCATGACGGTTGCGTCGAAAAGAACCTTTGTATTGAAGAAGTTTCGAATTTCAAAGCGAAATGAATTCATTAAAATTTATTGTATACAAAATATAAATAAATAAAAAAAAAAACGTTTATCATCTTCAGCTAGAAAAATTTATTGTGTTTTACTACTTTATCGATGCCTTACTAAGTAGACATTTTATAAAAAAGCTAAATTATTTGATTAATTCTGACCCAATAAGTACTTTGTCTAAATTAGGCAGTTATTATAAATAATCTCTATATAGTATAAATATGATAATATCCAGATTAACTACTTTGACTGTACAATACGTATAATTACATTATAACAAATTGCAAATCTGATATCTGACCACAAATCTAGTTCTATGCTCCTCTAAAATCTGCTAGGGGTTCTAACTAAATGTATATTGCCTGGTATTCAATAAAGAACTAAATCGGGAATTTGACTATGCACCCTTCAGGGTATATGATAAAAACTCTTCCAAGCATCTAACTTGAAACTTGGTTGGGCCCCCCGTCAGGGTTTTTGATAGGCATCCTTGTAAAAAACCATAAAATTCTAATAGATTCCTTAACAGTTATTTCAGTTTCTATCAAAATATTCTAAATTTTTTCTATTTTAATTTATTTTAGTCTCTAGTTTTTATTTAAATCACTGGTTATTATTGAAATTAAAACCACATATGGAAAGTCGATTATTTTGACTGCTACCTCGATAGTACTTCAAAAATTGTCTATATGTTAGGTAATGATTGGTTGAGTCAGAGTTGATAACGAAATAACGTCTGCTTCCGATGATATAAAAATTTACATTGCGCGTTAGCAAAATGAAATAAAATTATTTGTGAAAACTTCGGCAATATATAAGTACAATAAAAAATTATGAATAAATCATTTCAAAACAAAATGTTGTTACCTTTTTCTAACAATTGTCAAAAAGCACTAAGTATAATTAATGAGATTTTATTTCAAGAATAGCAGAAGAGCCGGTGCCCTATTTGCAAAAAAGGAACGACGACGCTGAAGACGAATGTGGCCTGTCAGGAAGCAGGGTAATTTCGAAAAGAATTATTGGAGGAAAGGAAGCACGGTTTGCCGAATATCCCTGGCAGGCGCTTCTTAAAATATCTACGTTCCAGTGCGGTGGTGTTTTAGGTAAGCTTACAAAAATATACAGCGAAAAAGCGGTATATGTATATGTAACTTTTTATTGCTTTCACGTCATTTGTTTCGTTATAGTGTCACGAAAATTTGTGATAACCGCTGGCCACTGCGTGGTGAAAGCGAAGCTGAAAGACATAAAGGTTTATCTTGGCGAGTTAGACACTATGGATACAGGAAAAGTGTTCGAATATGAACCTGCAGAACTACATAGCGTATGTATTCCCATTTCTACTAATACATCAACGTAGGGTTGTCAGTCCTAAGACTGGTTCGATACGTACCTCCACTCTTTTCTATATCCTGAGCTCAGAGATGTGATTTATTTGAAATACTTGCTTTTAAAATGCAAATACAAAATCAAAAATTCCTATTTTTATCTTGCATTTAAATATTTTTTTGAGAAAAGCATTTTGTATTTTATTTAAAATATTTTCGTATTTTCTATTTATAAAATGAAAAAAGTAGTTTAAAAATACGTATTTTGCATTTAGCATTGAAAATACCAACAGAAATTCTATTTTGTATTTCAAATTTAAAGTAACAAATCAAAAAAGGATTTACATTTTGTATTTAAATACTTTTAAAAAAACATTTTGCACATCTCTACCTAAGCTGATTTCACATTTCACATTTCCCTAAAATTAGGACATCGCACATCCTTAACTATTTGTAAACTTTACTCCTCCTAACTTTCCTTCTGCTTCTAATATGTCTCTCATGCGTGAGAAGGTGTCCTATAGTTAAGACGATCAAAATTTTCATAGTTCCTAATAAATTATCTGTGAGAATAGACGTATCTTCTATTTTGTTTCCTCTTGGGACGATAGTCATTTGCTGAGGACAGACAAAGTGAAATGAGATAACCGAATAATAGTACAAGCGGTGCAGCGATTAGAGGTTGCTTAGGTACGCGACAGATCAGGGTCGGCTTTAGAAACTGCCTGGTTGGAATTATAGCTTTAGGCAGACATTTTTGCTTTCTTAAATTCCTAAGAATGTTGAACTTTCTTTAAAAGTGCAATACTGGCAATATGCTCAAATTCTAATTGTCCGCATCTCTTTTTGTTACACATTAATTAGTATAATGTTATTCCTTTTTCTTTGTTAGTGTCCGCTGCAATTCCTACCTAACAATTCTTTTCTATGTTTACCTTATTCCTTACAACGACTGTCGTTAAAAGATAAATCATGAAGACCAGTTTCAGTTTTGTACAGTTTTCTTGAAAGCTTGAAGCTCTTTTCTGCTTAAATACTTTTGGAATGTTTGAAAGTGTATTTTATTAACTTTCAAAAAGTAAAGATTTTAAGCTTTAGTGTGCTTTTTTACTAGTTTCTTTAGTACCATCGGTATCACACCTTAACGGCTGAAAGGATTTGGATTAAACTTTTGGCGAATATATGGTATACGCTCTACACTGCCACAAAAGCTGCTTTTTATTCACGAAAAATACATTCTGAGCGATTGGCTCACTCGCGTATAAGCGATTTCGAGTTTGATTCGGGTCTGTTTTTTGTCATGTTTTTGCTTATCATGAATAGACTGAAAGTAGATGTGATTCAATGTAAGTGAAGCCGGAGGAAAAAGCCAGTGATAAATAATTAAATCGGATACAAAGCTTTCGTTATTTACTTAGAGTATTTTATAATAAAGAATGGGACATATGGCAATCATTTGTAGATTTATAACATCAAAATCGAATGATTTAAGTAATTTACAATTATAATGATACATTTTGATTGTCCAAAGATACTAAATATGAAGAATTAAACTAAAGCTTTTGAAATATAAAAACCATAGCGCGTTTTTTAGGTTAAACTACCTAAATGTAATGAGTTGTTGAGAAAGTAAAAGAGTAAATTGCTTTTCGGATTTTGTACTTATCTAGAACGGAGATTATTTTGTTGCATGTCTGAAAATGGAGTGTTACGTTTAACACCAACGACCTTTGCTTTAAATAAACAATTTAAAGTTATATTTCAAATGTAGAAAGATTTATTTACCAAATNAGGACAAGAAGTTACAGATTGTAGACGAGGAAAGTCCCGGAGGATTATAAACGGAACGTGGTGGTAACCACCTAGATCTAGTAAGACCTAGATTACACTTCACTGTTCGCATATAGTTTAAGGGGTAGATTGCCCGAGTTTTTGAAAAATATAAAGATTAGCTGCAGATAGTAAGAAGTAGAGGGCTGAAAACCTAATGCTGATAAATTAGCCTTAGCGTTTTGATAATTCATTCAATTGTCTGATAGCTACAATAAATAACAAAAGTTTATTTTGCAGCAGTTTTTTTTTTATTTATGACTATAATGGCAGACCGTAAAAAAAAAGTAGGATGTAAGCTTTACGCGTGAGCTACCTATCTAATATGATATGTAAAAGAAATTAAGACTGCTGTCAGCACAGGGCAAAGTAGTATTACGTAGTTAGTATCAGCAATTTCTTATGCTGAAGTGTACGATGTGTTGCATATCTATTTACAAACAATTCCTTTAAATTTAATTTTTTAAACAATTTTTAACACAAAGAAAGTGATTAAACAAATTGTTCACAAAAGTGAATTTCGACCACTCGAAGCAACTGTAAGTAAATGTGGACTTTCTTTATTATATGACATAAATCCACAAATTGTGTATTTTGAGCACCTAGGCCAACTTCACTGAAACAAGGCTTGTAAATAATTTTCTCAAATAACTCTCAACTTTTTTTATGTGTGTTTCTGGTTTCTCAAGTTACGCCTTCATTTGTTTTTACACTAAATAATGCAGGAATGATTAAAAGTACTTTGTTTCAATTTTACAGGTCACGCGTAAAATCCTTCACCCGCGATTCCAGTACAAGCTAATCCAGTTGGATAGATTTGATATCGCCCTACTGGAAATGTTAACTGAGACAGCTTTTTCTTATCATATTTTCCCAATTTGTCTTCCGCAACGTGATCTAACGTTACGAGGAAGGAAGGGTATAGTTACCGGCTGGGGCAAGATAAAGCCATCCACGGAGATGAAGGGTACAAATGTTCTTAGAAGTGCAACAGTTCCTATATTAGGTAATTTACTTCGTGTCCAGAAAGTATAATGAACATAAATTGTTCCCTAAGGATATGAAACAGAATATGATCCGTGTGGCCTTCGGTTAAAATATATTTGGACCGTTAAACAAAGGTATGAACCTTTATTCGATATATATAAGGTGAATTTAAAATAACTGAAATAACTGCGGAGGTCTGGTATTATATTTACAGTTTTTTTGAAAAAGTTTAATGTAGAAACAGATCTTTTTCATTGATTAAATATAGGGCTGCTATCACCTAAATTACCGACGCCGGATAAACACTGCAAAAATCCCGGACATATGGGCGAAATATGGTTTTTCCCCGGACACTTCTAAAAAAATATTTTTTGCAACAAAAAAATATTTTTTTGCCACAAAAATAAACACATCGTTATCATTTCTTAGGTCTGAGGTAATATGGTAATAATAATAATTAGAAACGCTCTTTTTTTTGGCATTAATCAAATTATTATATGATACTACTAATAACTAACTATAATGCTTTAGATATAATTTTAAAATAAACCACGCCAATGATATTTTCAGTCATATAGTTAGGTAGCCAAATCTCTATAATATTTGTAAATTAAATGTATTAAGTAACTGCTAAAACTTTTAATTTTAACGAGATCAATTTTTTTTTTACTTTGCTATTTTTCAGTCTTTCCAATTTTCGCGCTATAATACCTTTCTTTTCCAACAAGAATTTGTAAAAGTCGGAACAACTCAGGTCCTTGAAATTATACTTGATTTTGATCAGAGAAAAAACCGTGTGTATGTTCAGGGAGTTTCATTATTTCGTCTATTGCTATGTGACTAGGGAAAACACTCTCCCTACGTTCGCATTGTCAATGAATTCATGGCTTGTATATTAAAAAAATGGGATTTATTTATGATATGAAACTTATGTAAGAAGCCACAAAAGAGATGCCAACGACCCTAGTGGTGAAAAGAGAAAGGCAAACTCTGTTAATTTTCCCTTTTGTGTACGTGTTCAGTGTGTAGTCTCTATGAGACATGTAATCAAGGAATAATGAATAAATGAATAATCTACTACTTATACGTATCTAGTAATAGGGAAACCGCAAAGCGACGCAAGATTTTATAAAAAGGCGCAGCAAGATTTTATGAAAAGGCGCAGCTTATACAGGGTGTAACACAAATAAGGGCTGAGCTTTGCAGGGTATAAACTAGATGTAATAAACAATCGCACAGTGAGTTCATCAGCGGCGTTATTAAGGGCAAAAACAATTTATGGAAAATCATAATAATTTACAATCCGAAGTTGGTCCTGTGCGTGAATTGCCGACACAGGTGTTTACCGAATAGCATAATGCTATATAAGCTCTGCAACTACATGGATGAAAAATGTAAACATTACCGATAATTACATTTGTTTGTGAAAACGGTGAATAAACATTCTTTTAATTTTCATGTTTTGTACTGCTCTACCACCTCCTGCAAGCTAGGAACTTGTTTCTGTTGCACCCTGTATATATTTTTATTGTAGCTATTATACGAGGGTGGATTGATAAGTTTCCGGCCTAACCAAGAGATGACGCCACTAGGCCTACCTTGAGGTGACATTCTATAGTACCATCCTTGGATAGCTTGTAGCTATAGTTTCAGCCCGATCTCCTTGCTAGTGTAGGTTTGACAGCACGCTGAACAAGACGCCTCTGTGGTTTTCGTAAAAATGGAAAAGCAGGAAAATCGTGCTGTCATCAAATACTTTTATTTGAAGGGGTTAACGCCGAAGGAAATTAAAAAAGAGATGGACTCAACACTGGGGACATCCTCCCCGTCATATTCAACCGTTAAGCAGTGGGTTTCCGAGTTTAAAAAGGGTCGTGTGAGCACCTCTGATGGGCCTCGCTCAGGACGCCCCGTTGAGGTCACAACTCCAGATATGATCGAAAAAATTCATCAAATAGTGCTGGGAGACCGCAGATTGAAAGTGCGTGAGATAGCTGAGACCTGTAAGATGTCATATGAACGTGTGCAACATATTTTGCACCAACATTTGCATATGGAAAAGCTCTGTGCAAGATGGGTGCCGCGTTTGCTAACAGTCGACCAAAAATTGATTCGAAAAAACATTTCTACCGCAAATTTGTCATTGTATAAGCGTAATCCAAGCGAATTTTTGCGTCGATTCGTAACCGTTGACGAAACGTGGGTCCACCACTACACTCCTGAAACCAAAGAACAGTCTAAACAGTGGATTGGACCAGGGGAACCAACTCCAAAGAAGGCAAAAACAATTTTTTCGGCGAACAAGGTTATGGCTACTGTTTTTTGGGATGCAAGAGGTATTATATACATTGATTACCTTGCAAAGGGTAATACTATCACTGGTCAATACTACGCAGACTTATTGCAACGTTTGAGCCACGAGGTGAAAATTAAACGACCTCATCTGGCGAAGAAAAAAATCTTGTTTCATCACGATAACGCACCAGCGCACACGTCAATCGTTGCGACGGCTAAAATCAACGATCTAAAGTTTGAATTGATGCCGCACCCTCCTTACTCTCCAGACCTAGCCCCGAGTGACTATTTTCTGTTCCCTAATCTCAAAAAATGGCTTGGCGGTAAGAGATTTGCGGACAATGAAGAAGTAATCGAAGCTGTAAATGGTTATTTTGAGGAGCTTGACGAATCAGTCTATAGAGATGGCATTAATAGACTGGAACACCGCTATGAGAAATGTATCAGCCTTGGAGGAGATTATGTTGAGAAATAAAAAAAAAAAATTTTTAAAAACCTTGTTTTTCTTGGTCAGGCCGGAAACTTATCAATCCACCCTCGTATGTACAATTTCTTAAGATTTTGGTTCATTTCTAACTTATCCTATTATTCTGAACAGTTGATAATCTTAATACAATACAAACTTAATAAAAAAAGGAATAGCGTGAATAGAAAGTTCTGTTTAATGCCATGAAACAGTAGATTATTTGAACTCGTTTTCAGAAAAAATTCTGCAAAGTTTCCCTAAATTACTCTAAGTTTTGCATTATCAATTGTGGTGAAATTTGGAATATGAACGTAGATTGATGGCCCACAAACAGAAATGATGAGATTTTTCGAAAAAGAAAAAGTTTTTTAAATCTTCCCACTTACACTGTTTTTATTATTCTGTAACTTACCCCATTAAGTGGGGTATCTTTAGACATGTCTCCTAAATTGCAACAAAATTTGCCTTCTGACTACTACTTCAATAACGAGATGAATAAATTTAGAGTAGTTATCAAAGTTATTAAGTTTAATCGAAATCTTTCGGTTATTTATACTTAATAAATATCTATAGTGTATTATCCGATTTGTTTCTATTTTTTAAGACATCGAAGAATGCAACAGCTGGCATCGCAAAAAGCAAATCACGGTGGAGTTACATGAAGATGTATTGTGTGCGGGACACCCAGATGGGCATCAAGACGCATGTTTGGGGGATTCTGGAGGTCCTTTGGTCGTTTTAGAAAATGGACGCTGGGTATTAGTGGGAATAACCAGTGCCGGGTTTGGTTGTGGTGAGCCATTGCAACCTGGGATTTATCATTCAGTTGTAACGTCGGTGGAATGGATTAAGTCTGTAATTTATGTGTGAAAATATTCTAATCAATAAACTTGGATCGATAAAAATTATGTGGCTTATTTGTTTGTACAAACTTAATTCAATTTGTTGATGTATAATTACTTATACATATTTGTGGTGTTATCGGTGAATGATGAGGATACTGTGGATAGAGAAAGTTAGAAATGAAGAGGTATTAGAAAGAATATGAGAACAGAGGACTCTATGGAAATCATGAAAAAATAAGCGATATAGGTTTGAAGAACACCTTCTCAGACATGAAAGTCTAGTCAGAGACATATTAGAGGCAGAAACAGGAGTTAAGAGGAGCAGAGGTAGGCCAAGATTAGATTACTGTTCGCAAATATAGGGTTGTTCGGAAAGTCATTTCGTTTTTTCCCGACAGAGGATTTAATTGTATTCTTTTGCACCCAACTTTACATTTAAGCCGTATAATTTTTATATGCTTTGAGAGCTCATATGGCAAGGCTTGTGTGTGAAAAATTCCAATTAATTCTACGCAGTAGTTTTTGGTTGGTGCCCTTTTAAATATGGAGAGCGATAAGCAGCATTTTCGACATATCTTACTGTTTTACTACAGAAAGGGTAAAAATGCTGTTCAAGCCAGAAAGAAATTGACTGACGTGTATTAAGGTGTGTTGACAGTACGCCAGTGCCAGAACTGGTTCGCTAAATTTCGATCCGGCAATTTTGATGTCGAAGATGCACCACGTTCGGGAAGGCCGGTTGAAGCTGATAAAGACGCGATAAAGGCATTAGTTGATGTGAACCGGCGAATAAGAACACGTGAGATCGGATTGAGGTTAAATTTATCAAATTCAACAGTTTATGACCACTTGAAAGGCCTGGTTCCCCATGTTCTCACAGAGAGAAATCTGTGTCGCCGCATTGACGTCTGCGATTCGCTTCTCAAACGTCACGAAAATGATCCGTTTTTGAAGCGCATCATCACTGGGGACGAAAAATGGGTTGTATACAACAACGTCAAACGCAAGAGGTCATGGAGCAAAAAAGATGAAGCGGTTCAAACCATTTCCAAAGCCGATATTCACCAAAAAAAGGTGATGCTGTCTGTTTGGTGGGATTTTAAAGGAATCGTTTTTTTTTGAGCTTTTACCGGATAACACAACGATTAATTCGGAAGTCTACTGTCATCAGCTGGACAAACTGAATGATGCACTTCAACAGAAAAGGTCAGAACTAATCAACAGGAAAGGTGTAGTGTTTCACCAAGACAACGCGAGACCTCACACAAGTTTGGTCACTCGCCAAAAGCTTTTACAGCTTGAATGGGATACAATGCTACACCCACCATATTCTCCGGACCTGGTACCATCGGATTATTATTTGTTCCGGTCACTCCAAAATTTTTTAGACGGTAAAACCTTCACCTCAAATGAGGAGGTCAAAAACCTCCTCGATCAGTTTTTTGCCAGCAAAGACCAAAAATTTTATGAGCGTGGAATTATGCTACTACCAGAAAGATGGCAAAAGGTGTTGGACCAGAACGGTCAATATATAATTTAATAAAGTATTTGTTTATTATACGAAAATTGTCTTTCATTTCCAAAAAAAAAAACGAAATGACTTTCCGAATAACCCTATAGTTAAGGATGTGGGATGTTCTAGGGAAATGCGAAGATTAGGTCAGGATAGGAAAGAGTGGAGGTGCGTGTCCAACCAGTCTTAGGACTGACGACCTTATGATGATGATGATATGTTACCTTTTCACGCTTTAACTACTCAACCGATCATTATGAAATTTTGTACACACATTGTTATGGGTATATAAAAGAACATAGAGTACCTTTTATCCAGAAAAACAATTCTGTTCCCGAGGGATAGAAAAATATTTTTTTTTCATCTCGATAAAGAAGAACAGTACATATTTACTGTAGTTCACAAAATTAGAAACTTTAGTTTTACCTTGATGTTCCTGGTCAGGACTTACGAACAAATTAATCAAATTATTGTATTTTCGATGATTTTTGACACGATTTAGAACATCAACGCTAGCGAAGCCGCGGGTAAAATCAACCATCAAAAATATAAAAAGGAAGTTTTTGATATAGGTCAAAAATACCGGCTTGTGAAAATTGCGCGCAACCAATATTATCTTTAAGTTTCCTATTCGTAGTTAGCGAAAAGATGAATATTTAATAATCGATATCAGAATTTGGCATGTAATATAACTAGAAGTAACTTACTCAAAATTTGTTGATTTATTGATGGATTTAGAAGTAAACCATAATGTCTACTCCTTTATTTTTTTTATAATTTGAAAAAAAATACATGCATAAGTAGGTAAGCTAAAAGTTTCTCGGAAAGAAGGAAAGCAGCAAGTAACTTAGAAGGGTATTGGGTTACCCCCCTCCCCGAAATTAAAAGAATACCCTAAACAAGAAGTGATAACATCATAATAAAAACAAATGGCAAGGAATAAATCGTAAAAATTATTTTTAGAAATATGTAGAGGGTAGTGACAACAAGGAAAGGTAATTTAGTAGGTATGGTTTATGGTAAGCCTGCTTTTTTGGACGATCGGAAATAAAGAAGAGGTATTTTGACCCCCGCCCCCGAACGAAAGTCCTGTATACGCCCCTGCAAGTACATAGGTAACAATGTCGTTACAACGAACTAGTCTCATAGTATGAGATGTTTAATATTAAAATTTAATTTTGCATCCCGCTTGGCGTAGTTGTTGTTTTAAGGGTAGAAATTACAAAAGATAATTGCTTGCAAGGAAGATCGATAGACGTGGAATGCAAATATACCTATGAAGTTGTGATTTATGAACAAAGGCAGACCTATGTATTACGTAGTCACGAAAGCGTACAATTAGGCATAAGCACCTATTACACTACTTCGACAGTGCCTTCGAAAATTAATTGTTGCACTTCGAAATTAAAAAAAAAAAGATTTATATCACGGCTATTTATAAAAATAATTCATTTGTGATTGTAAGGAAATCTTCTTTACAAACTAATTAAATCAAAAATTCCTAAAATGGGGCTTACCTTTACTCGCATCGCGTCGTAGGGGTTAAGTTAAGGCCAATTAAACGAATAAAACTAAAAAGTAATAAAGTTAAAATAAAAGTTAAAAGTAATATCATTTAAGCCCAATAAGTTGAACTACTGAAGTACTTTCCAGCGATACCTTGGTCGGAATTCTACCTTCAGGCGTTCCAAGGAAACTGCTTTCATAATATGTCTTTCTATATATTTATGTCACATTCGCACAAGCCTGTTATCCCTAATGATCCCGCTACATATTATTGACCATAACAATAAGAGCGGAAAATATTGTAATGGGAAATACCCATTAAGATTAATTTTTCAGTAAGTATTTATGAGTATAGCCCAGGGTCTAGCTGCTTTCAACAAAAAGAAGTCACTTCTATGCTTTAGAAATTGGAAAAACATGGTTAATCCTGTGTGTGTGTCTGCAGTGCGGCTCTGTGCCGGTGCGAAACGTGGTTGGTGAGCTCGAAGAAAATAAAAGATTAGAAGCTTTTAAAATGTAGTGTTACAGGCGAACGATGAGGATATCGTGGATAGAAAGGGTTAGAAACGAGGAGGAAAGAATAGGAAAATAGGAGACGTTATGGAAGTCAATAAGAAATAGGCTGGTAGGATATCTTTTCAGGCAAGAAGAGCTAGTTAAAGACATATTAGAAGCAGAAACAGGAATTAAGTTCGAGTTTTAGGGAAATGCGAAAATTAGCTCAGGATATCAATGAGTGGAAGTACGTGTCCAACCAGTCTTAGGACTGATGAAACTATGGTATATTAGTAGAAATAAACCTATATGTCTTTTAGTTTCACCTTCACTATGCAATGGTCAGCGGTTATCACAAATTTTCGTGACACTATAGCAAAAGAAATCACATGAAAATAATTAAATCGGCTTTTCGGCGTTACATATTTTTGTATGCTTACCTAAAACACCACCGCACTGTAATGTTGGTATTTTACGAAGTGCTTGCCAAGGATATTCGGTAAATAGGAGCTAACAGGAGTAGAGGTTACTCTTCACAAATTGCTAAGTATGTGGGTTGTTCCAGTTTCAGGGAAATGCCATGATGAGCTTAGGATAGGAAAGAGTGGAGGTGCGTGCCCAAACAGTCTTAGGACTGACGATCTTATGATGATGATGATGATGAAGTATTTATGAGAAACGATAAACAAATCAACATTAAAGGTATTTCCTATTTCAAAATTTCCGGCTCCTATATATTAATGAGGTTATAAATATATACTCTCATTAAAAAAAATGATTTGACCTTGCAGATCAAGGTCGAGGTAATACTCAACCACTTGTCTACGATTTTCTCAAAAATAATGAGATCCAACCAAGATATTAATAGTCTCAATAGTCACCCTGTATTATACTCAATTTCTTCGTCAAGTACAATTTTATGTTTAATCATTTTATATTCCTGCGTAATTTTAGCCTATAATTAAAGTGTAATTAAATGACGAAGAGTTTACAGCTTTATGCGACTGTGATTGCGGTTTGATTTCCTATTGCGGTAATAAGACGGACGCGGCACAGCGCGGCGCCGAACGACGTAGCTCGAGAGCTCTGGGTTAAGGTTGTAGCAGTGACACACTTTCTTCGAGAAAGGCAGCGAAGAGAAAGCAACAGGAATGTGTGTACAGTAGTCAAATTAAACCGGAAACACATTGACGATGGGACGCACTTTTGCATTCGTTTTTAAAAAACAATAAACAATAAGTAAAAACAACTCTATCTAAATGATGTAGATAATGACAACGTATAAAAATTTTGACAGATTATCGTGTCTACAACTTAGAGAAATCAAATCGCAATATGAACAAAATAACACGATTAAATTGTTATTATCATTATAGAGAAAGGAGAAAGGAAATTACAGTTTTAATTTTTATCAGTTGATCAGTTACTACTGCATTTTTTAGCGGATAATTAATAAATTACAAATTGACATGTATGTATATGTAGATCAATAAATAGAAAGATATAGTAGACTACTTTGATTTTCAAT